GTGGGTGCTGAGCCACGGGTGGGGGCTGGGATCCTGGGGAAAGTGGTGTGCATCTCCCCCTCAGGGCACAGGGATCGGCCTGGATGGGGATGCACCAGGCAGGGATGCTCCAGATGGGGATGTTCCAGATGACTCTCAGCACTGATGCTGCCCTCTCCCTCCTAGGAGAGGTTTTCTACCTGGACCGCCTCGCTGGGATGACGCTGGAGGAGGCCAAGCAGAGCTGCCAGGATGCAGGGGCCGAGATTGCCCGGGTGGGGCATCTCTACTCTGCCTGGAAGTTCCTGGGGCTGGACCGCTGCAGTGCCGGCTGGCTGGCAGACGGCAGCGTCCGCTACCCCATTGTCAAGCCCCGGCCCAACTGTGGCCCCTCAGAGCCCGGTGTCCGCAGCTTCGGCTTCCCCAGCAAGGGCAGGTTTGGGGTCTTCTGCTACAAGGAGAGATAAGGAGCCAGGAGAGATCCTTCTTGGATGAAGGATGTTTCCAGCCTGACAGTGCCTGGTGTTGGGCATTTCCCAGGGCTGTTTTAGGGGTGACTGGGGGGAGGTGGGATGGGGGGAGGCTTCTTTTTGTTTTGTTTTGTTTTGTTCCTTTATATTTTCCACATCTTGCTCAGCAGCTGGCACATGCAGCTGCTTGGGGCAGCTGCCAGCTGGGCAGCGTGGGACAGTGCCTGTCATGGGATGTGTGCAAGGACGATCCCCGTGGGCTACAGCTGCCACCCCACTTGGCCCTGCCACTCCATGGGTGGTGGCCCCTTCCTGAGGTGGCAGGCTATCACCGACACTTGCCTGCCCTTCCAGGCTGGTCCTACCCCCAAGTTCATGAGATGGGAGTGAGGCAAAGCTGGATTTGGCCAGAGTAGAGAGCAGGCGTCTCTGTTGCACCTGGCCCCTCTTCCAGCCCCATCCCTGACCCGCTGAAGGATGTCATTGTGCCTGTCCCTGCGGGAGTGCCAGTGCCTTATCTCCATGTGCCTGTTGCCTGGACTGCACTTGAATTCTGGTGCCTTCTTCTTTGATCAGTTGTTTATGAAAAGATGTATTTTCCTGGACGTCTTCTAATAAATTGGAGAAAGCCCTGGAGTGACGTGGCTGTCCGTCTCTCTCCCAGTACAAGAGAGGAGTCTGACATGGAGAGAGGATTTGGGAATCCCTGGCTGGTTGCCTAGGACTGTCTCATCCTTGGCTGAGCATTGTCTTATTGCTGCTGGCTCCGCCCTGTGCCCACCCAAGCTCAGGCAAAGGCTTTGTGTTCCCTCATTAGTGAGTGTTAATTAACCCCCTGAGTGTCAGAACTGAAAGCTGGAAGATGAAGCAGTTCCTGCTGGCCATGGGTTTTAGATGGGTTTTAGGTATGTTAGTTAACTCCCTCCCGAGGTGGGAGACGAACAGGGAGGGTGATGTCCTACTGAAAGGTCCCTCTTCAGCTGGGGCTTGGGACACCCCTCCCACCTCTGTCGTCCCCAGGGATGCACCCTTGGGTGCTGGCTGGGGCTGAGCCATTCCCATGTAGCCTGGAGCACCCGGTTTGGGGTCCCCTTCCTTCCTTGCTACCTTGCCGTGGGAGACCCTCCCTCCTTCCAGCCCAGAGAGACACGCCCCTTCCTTAAAAAAACAACACTGACAAAGCGCCCATTCCGATTTCACTCTCTTTATTATTTATCATTCTTTCAAAATAGTATATGTTCAAAAATATAAATAGGTGCAGGGAACGCTGGTGCCCCGCACGGTCCCCTGGAAAGAGCACGTTATCCTGGACGGGCGCTGCGCTGCAGAGGGGGCGCTGGGGAAGCAGAGAGGGGCCGCAGCCCCCAGCACCCGGGTCTCGGGTCTCAGCATCCCCTCGCCTCCCTCCTCCCACAGCTCCTTCCACCACAGCCCCCCGGCCCTCCCCACCCACCCTGACGTGCTGCAGCAGTAAAAGGATTCTGGAAAAAAAAAATAAAATTAAACCCCAAAAGGTGCTGTTCACCCTGGAGATTAAATAACAGAAATAATTACATTGTTCGTGGATAAAATCAGGAAAAAATAATCATCTTTATTATTTAACTTAACCCTCTGCCCTCTGCAGACCCACCCCCCTCCCTGTCCCCAAAGGCACGAAGATAATTGGAACCGGACGGTTAGTAAAAATGCTGAGATCTAATTTGTTTTGCTTTGGTGCTTGGAAAAACATTAATTTTTTTTTATATATATATACACAAAGGTGGGTTTGTCTTTAATATAATTTTTTTTCCTTATATGACAAAAAAGCAACAAGAAGAAGAAGAAATTGACTCTGTTAATATAACTGTTCCGTTAAAAATCTCTCGCGTTTCCCCTCTGTCTCTCGCCCCGCTCTAATGGGTGGGTCTGTGGACGGCGCTGCCGCTGGGTCTCGACCGGCTCCTGGGGCTCCTCTTGTATAGCCTGCGCTGGTAGCTGGAGGCTGTGGGATAGAAGAAAAGGCACCTTGTTGGCAGGAGCCGGGACAGAGACGCTGCTTGTGCCGCGCTGGCCTCCCCGGCCCCTGGCTCCCTGGAAAAACACGGGTAGCCGCAGGCAGCGCTGCCCGGCGGGTCGCTGTGTGTGCCCCGGCGCCAGCCTGCCCACACACGGACAATCGGCCCTTCTCTCGCCCTGCACCTGGGCTTTGCTTCTCCCAGGGGAGAAGGTGCCCGGTGCCGGGCGGGAGCCGGGGCAGGAGCATCATCTCCGCGGATGCCTGTGCCATCCCTTCCCTGCGCCCGGCCGGGAGGGCAGCTCTGCTGGTGGAGTGGGCGTGGGTACCAATTCCCTGCCTCTCCCCTTGCCCTATCAGTCTCTCCCCAGTCCACAGTCCCAGTATCCATTAGCAGTGGGATGTGCTCAGGGCACAGGAGGGGAAACAGCCCCATCTGGCTGGCAGGGAGGGACAAGGTTTCTGCCTGATCTTTGCTGCCAGTCTCCCTGGAAGCTGGCACCACTCTGGTGTGATAATTGCAGGAGGGTTTTAGTGGAAGCAGCAAAAGCTGGTTGGGAACAGAAAAGGTCTCTTGATCGCTGGCAGTCCATGCAGGGAGCAGCCTGCAGCTCTCCAGATGCACAGCAGAGCCAAGGGAATCAGCCTCTTGGACTGCACCAGGCAGCCGCCCTTGGATAGGTCCTCCATCCCTCCTCCTTTCATCTTCTCCCTGGGGCAGAGATTTGTCCCTTAAGCCTGTGTCGACTTTCCCTGGCTGTGGGACCATTGCTTAATCTGCCTTATCTGGAATTGCCCAGCTGGCCCAGAAGCTGGCAAGGAGGCCACTGGACAGATGTGATTTGTCTGAGGCCAATAAAATTATTGGGAAGCTGCAGGCAAGCAGGGATGGGACAGGGGTGTAGGCAGGCGTGGGACTGGGCTGGAACACCAGAGGGAAAAGGCTGGCTGCCATTAGCTGGAGGCCTGACAGGAGGAGAGTCAGGAGCCCAGCCCTGTCCCTTGGCTTATCTCTGCCTCAGGACTTCTGTCTGGTCCCAGGGCAGGGGAATACAGGGGAAGGGCTTGGGAGACCACAGCTCCCCCCTCCTATTCTCTCTGTTGATGCAGGTGGTGCCAAAACTTGCCCTTTCAGAAGCCATTTATTTTTCTTTCTTTTAGTAGCCTGGGCCATTGTTAAACAACTTGTTGCCCTTTCCTGGCTCTGGAGCTGCCCCTACTCTGCCTTGGTGGAGGAGTTTCTAGGGCAGGAATTGCCCAGACTGTCCCTCCAGCCAGCTGATGTGGCTCACATCTGCCCAGAAGATGTCAGCTTCCATAACCCCAGCATGGGGAAGCTTTCAAGAAGTCAAGGGAACCGTGATCCTCCCTTCTGCCTGGCTTGGAGCTACCCTGCACTCTGAGGCGATGCCCCTCTCATTCCCAGCTCCTTCTCCCAGCTACAGGGGTGCATTCGGTCCCTCCCTAATCCGAAGGCAAAGGGACTGAGACGTACGGTTTAGGCAGGATATCCGCGGCTCCTCCCACTGCCCGTTGGGCTGGCACCGGATGGTGGGCAGGTGGCGCTGGATGTAGCCTTGGTTGCACTGGTACCGCACCATGGAGTTTATTTCATAGCGTTCCTTCTTCCGACCGAAGGTCCTGGCGTTCTCCACGGCAGGGGGGTCCCCACAGGCCACTGCAGGAGATGGGCAGACACATGGGGAATGAGAAGAGTCCTGCCTGGCTGAGCAGGACCCGGGCAGCTCCTGCCTGCCCGCTGCAGGCTGGGCACACACAGCTTTGTCACTCCTCCCACGGATAAAACCTTAACTCCCTTTGAGATTGTCCACAAAATTTATGGGCAGGGGGGTATGGGAATTATGTGATGGGCCTTGAAATTAAGTAAGGTTCTGCCTCAGTGCTCCATTCCCGCCTCCTGGAAAGGCAGCGAGAGATGAGCTTCACAAAGATATCTGTGTCTGTGGGAGGACATGGAACTGGTGTTATGGGAGTGATGATGCAGCCAGGGTATGACTCTACCTAGAGATGTTGAATTCCTTGATAGCTCATCTCATTTATTTTCAAATCCTTGTGAAACTTTCTCCTAGAGCCTTGGCCAACTTCTGTTTCTAATTCCTTCCACCCCTTCGACCACCCTTTGACAAAACCCCTTTTCATGTGCACTGGGGACTCTGCTCCAGTCCTGCAGCTGCTGCAGAGTGCTGACCTGTTCCTTTCTTGCAGGTGAAAGGGAGGTGATAGTTGCAGGGAACATCATTCCATTCTCCTTTCTCATGCCAGATCATCACAACGCAGTCCTCCCCCGCCGAAAAGAAGTTGTCGGGTTGGTTGGGCCTCCAGTTCTCATATTGCTGCCAAGAGAGGAAAGCCCTTCACCTAAGGCTGAGCCCTTCCCTCTCCCACTCCCTCCTTCATCCTTGCTGCTTCACCCATGTCCCTCTTCAGCAGCGACCATGGAATGCTTGCACTGCTCCTGTAGTGGTTATTTCTGCCGTGATGGTGTCAGGAGCCAACCAGCTTTACTACTGGCTTGGAAAAACCGTGAGCCCTGCAAAGTTTAGGGCTGCCCCCACTCAATGCCCAACCCAAGCTCTCATCATGTAACTCATGGGGCTCTTCCCTCCCAAGGGGAACCTCTTCTCCCCGTGGAAAGCTGGCTCCTGCTCATGCTGTGGGCTGTAGGCTCACCAGAGAGTGCCCGTCGGACCAGCGGAAGTCGTTCTCCACAGCTCTGTCACTGAGGCCAATCCACTGGTAGTCCTGTGCATGACCTGGAAGAGCAGAAGGGGAGAGAAGAGCGGGTCGTGATTGCCCTACACCTTGTTGAAAGCATTTCTTTGCCATCTCAGCTGTCTCTGCCCTGGAGCCTTATTTTCCCCATATCATACTTGTCCATCTCCCTCCTCACTCAATGTGCCATGAACATGGAAGAACCCATGCAAGGATGAAGCTTTTTTAGAATATATATGAGCACCAGTGGGGCAAATTGTGGTTTTTACAGCATTTTGGATAAACCTGCCCATATACTCAGAGTCTGATGGCTGGACCCCTGCCCAGCCTCAGGCTGCCCTTAGCACTCACTGTTCACAAATTCTTGTTCCTCTGGGGTGATGATACTGCTCAGGTGGGCTTGATGTTGTCGGCATCTGGTCTCTGCATCCATCCAAGTCTCCCTCTCTTCAAAGTGCCTGTAGCAGTGGCCCTGGAACTTGGTCCAGCCCTCCTCACAGTTTTCCAAGTCTGAAACACACAGAGAAGGGATGGAAATGAGTTGCTGAGTGGGTCTGGAAGCCTTCCAACTCACCTCTTAGCAGCTCATGCTCGCATGGCATGGGACAACACACGGTCACTTTCACTAAAAAGCAAACCCTGACACTGTTGCCTGTAGGATATCCCAGGGAAAACTGTCAGAAGGCATCAAAGACACGCAGAGAGGGGAGCCTGTGTTGAAGATTCTGTGTCTGTAGGAAAATTGCCACTGCTACTAGAAAACCTGGATGACACCGACTTATTTGTGAGCAATTGAATCCCTGTGTCATGTTCCTGAACTTTGTTTTTGAGGAACTGACCAAACAAGAACCCTTCTCTTCCCACTTCTTCTGGCCTGCAGAGTTTTCTTGCTTTGGAATAATC